AACCACATCAACCCCCCTACACCCCACCCATCCTACCATTCACGACCAACCACAACAACCCCCTACACCCCACCTCCTCTACCATTCACGACCAACCACCCCACCCATCCTACCATTCACGACCAACCACATCAACCCCCCTACACCCCGCCCCTCCTACCATTCACGACCAACCACATCAACCCCCCCTACACCCCACCCATCCTACCATTCACGACCAACCACATCAACCCCCCCTACACCCCACCCATCCTACCATTCACGACCAACCACATCAACCCCCCTACACCCCACCCATCCTACCATTCCCGACCAACTCCATCATCCCCCCACCCCCCCTACACCCCACCCATCCTACCATTCACGATCAACCACTTCAACTCCCCTCTACACCTCACCCTTATCCACGACATCATCAACTCACAGCTACACCGCACGTCAGCATTTCCTTATACACCCTACCTCATCTTTCATTGATAAACATCGCAGCATCCCGCCACAAGACACAACAACAACATTCCCTTATACACCACACCATGCCGTTTCATCACCGCTTGGCACACCCCACACCCACCACACGACCAACACAAACTTTCCTTCTGCTCAAATCCCACTTGTTGAAAAACCTTTTTAAAAAGCCCATATGTAAACGCTCCTTTCACATTACCAGCCCACCGAAGCCCACTTTTCAAAGCTCTCAGGCTAGATGCACACCTGAAACTCCCACCTGTAACGCCACCTAACCTACCTCTAAACCACTCTCCATACAGCAAAAAAATAAATTACGTTTAAAAAACCTAATTATAACGTATTCAAGAGGGCAACACGTTGTAAACGAATACATTGGTCTTAAACTCGACGCAATTATATCCTCTAGATCGATCACCACTCAAGTGTGGGCTCAATAACCTATCGACCACGCCCCGTTTTGTCAATACACTGCTCATTTTACCCCCAGCACATATGGGACAATAATAAATAACACCCACTCTAGCATTGGTAGGGGGCGCAACTGCGACATGATCATGTAAAAGAAATTATCAACTGTTTTTTTTGTTCAGTCCAAAACAAAATCGATGCTACAACAATCAATTTATACTCAGCAACATTAAACAACATCATTTCAACCACACTTTTGACACAAAAGTACCACACCGACAATAACTCACAGTAACTTACAAAAGTTATACGCCACAGTTAATAAACAGTTCCAATTCTATATTATATCAAGAGTGTGTCTATTCGTTAAGTTGCAATCCTTTCTTTGATTTACTTTCTCGTATATATACGAAGTGTAGAGAAAGTATTGTAATCGTGCAAAATAAAAAATCGAGATTTTTGCATAGTTCGACGTTCTACACCTCACTGATACGGAAAAACATAATTTTGCAATCTTGTCCGTATGTCTGTTTGCGTGTGTGTGTCTTACTGTGTGTCTGTGTGTCTGTAAACACGATAACTTGAGTACCGTTACATCTAGGTTGATGAAATTTTATATATAAGTATTTTATCAAAATCGTAGATCCGTATCAACTTTTGAGCGATTTCCGATAACCGGAAGTGGTACTTTTTTTTACTTTGAATTTTTCAAAAGCCTATAACTTGAGTACTATTTCAGATAGATAAATAAAATTTCACACGTAAGTAAAAGATCTAATTCTCTACCTTTTATCAAATTTTGAGTAATTTCCGTTGACCGGAATTAGTAATTTACGCTATTTCCAATTTCTAAAAAAAAACGCATGTTAATTTATAAAGCACTAATAATATTGCGTTTTATTATGCACATTTTATTTGGCGTTCACAGGTGTGCAATTCCTTTTTCTACGAGATTTTATTCTATTTTAAAAAGTTTAAGTATTTAAAATGGATTAAAATTCATGTCTATATCCCGAGTTCCCGTCCCCTGTTTTTTTTATTTAAGAATATTCGAGACAGTTTATGGGAGATACCTCCCGGTTTATTTTTGCATATTTTTGCTTTTTTTTCCTTTCGTCTAAATCAAAAATTATTAAAAGTGTGCTGAAAGATTCTCTGGAAAAACAGTTAATTGTAATAAGTGATCAAGCATCTTAGGAAACAGTTAAGGAAGAATAGAAGTATGAACTTTTATGCTGCGATAAACACAAAAAATGTTGGGAAGCGCATTAAAAAAGATGTTTCAACATGTCGGCCTGATGTCACACACAAATGCCTCCTTATGCTAATAGATTCACCTCTTAACGGTGCTGATCTTTTACAGATTTATATTAAAACAGAGAAGAATGTACTTATAGAAATCAACCCTCAAACTCGCATACCTCGCATTTTCGACAGATTTTGTGGGCTCATGGTTCAGCTCAGTCAGCTGTTGGAGAAGCTAAGCATCAGGGCAAATGATGGCCAGCAGAAACTTTGAAAGGTGATCAAAAACCCAGTCAGTGACCACCTCCCCATAGGCTGTTCAAAATATGCCATGTCATACAGTGCTGAAGAGATTGTAGATGTGAGAGATTACGTACCCAAGGATGGGCCTGCTGTTTTTGTTATAGGGCTGGTAAGTAGGTCACCAACCAGTTCTATGGTTCAATAAAACCTGCATGAGCCATAGAACTGGTTGGTGACCTACTTACCAGCCCTATGGGAGCCATGGCCCATGGCAGTGTGAAACCTGACTATACAGGGAAAAACATTTTCTATCAGTAATAACCCCCTTCATACTTCCATCACGTGTTCAAAAGTTTGTAATGCATTTGAAGAGGGTTGGGGTATCAAATAAAAAAAAATAGCTTTTTTTTAGTCCAGATTGTCACAATGTTATTTTGTTTCATATAAACGAGTGAAATCCCCTTGTGATTCGAATTTAAAAAAAATATTTTTAGATTAAATTGATAACCCCCTCCTCCTCTAGATATTACTTGTTGGATGCCCGGACAAGCACTTATCTGGACGCCCCCTCCCCCCACTCCTTTAGATGCTTCTATATAATCCGCCATCCCTGTACCAACCTCACGATTTTTAACGCTCTCCGTGGATATATTAAGGCTTACCATCTGCCCCATCGTTAATCCCTTTCAGTAATCACACAGCATTTGATCTGGAATATTCCAACAGTACAACCAACTTGACTCTGTTTACCAGATACTGCGAGATATTTAAACGATTAAATCAGACCGAATTTACTACATTATTTTCTATTTAAAAAAATGTTTTCCTATACTTAAACAACAGTAACTAAAAAAACCAAACTGAACACAACACAAAGATAGGATAAAAATAAACGTATTTGAGACTAAAAAGAAAAGCTTTCATTCTTTTTTAAGTCGTAATCGATATTATAAGATATTATAAAGAGCTAGATCTATCAATGTGTGTATGTAAATATTTATACAATGCAATATTACTTATAAGAGATGAAATAGTATGCACTATTTTTGTTGTTGTAATTGTGTAGATATTAAGTGTGCTTAGTTACATTTTTAAATTACGTCCATTGTTTTAAAAAGATAAATGCTCTCTGATGCTCATTAGTGAGTATTAATTAATAACCTCATCAGATGAAGTTCAACGTATAATTTCAATCTTAGACATGCACAAAATGTAGACCAAAGCAGGGGCGTAGCGAGGGGGGGGGGGCGGGGGGTGCGGACCGCACCGGGTGACACCATTTAGGGGGGTGACACCAAGGCAAAAATTAGCAAAATATATAGTGAAAAACTCGAGGGGGGGGGGTGCAAATCAAAAGTTTGAGGGGGGGTGCAAGTCGAAAACTTGAGGGGCCGGGGGTGGGGGGGTGCAAATCGAAAGTTTGAGGGGGGGGGGTGCAAATTGAAAATTTGAAAGTTTGTCCCTAGGAAGGGTCTCTATGCCTCTGGGGGGGGGGGGGGGGTGACACCATTAAGTGCCGCACCGGGTGACACCCGACCTCGCTACGCCACTGGACCAAAGTATTGTGTTTCAAGCGACCTGAACATTGTTTCTATTTTACTAGTATAGTTAGGGAAATATTCACTGATATGGTTGAGATTAAAATTAATATAAAAATGTATTATAATGATAATTACAACGGCTTTGGAAATCATTTCATTCAAAAGAAAATCATTAGTTTCTGCTTCAATTCAAATATTCGTAAAACCTTTTTGTTGTAATCAGAATAAAATACATAAACCCTTTTTTCATGCTCTACTTTTAAATGGCGCACGTTGTTAAGAGAGAACTGTGCCACCATATATATATATATATATTTATATATATATATATATATATATATATATATATATATATATACATTTATTTATATATAGATGTGTTTGTGTGTGTGTGTGTATGTGTGTGTGAGAGTGTGTGTGAGAGTGTATGTGAATAATCAGAATTATCCATATTTTATTCATCACTTCTTCATTACCAATGGGTAGAACTCAAATCCTGACCCAGCGTACGTGCGCCTATGTATATGCTATACAAGTAAAGATTGATTCTTTTCTTATAATGATATACTGCCTCTTTATTAAAGTTGTCCGCCGTCTGCTATACTTAAACAAAAATCGTTCACATTTCTGCGCATGTCTTAAATAGAAGGGACGTAACACGTGGTTGTTTCAACTCACGGTCCAGTTATCGCCCTTTGCTCGGGGAATAAACACCGTTATCGTCTTCAGGCTCGTCGCTGAGAAAGAAGATACGAGGTTGACTTAACGTAAAACGATGGTCAAGGGATATAAGTAACGAGATAATAAGACAGATGAGGTGAAAGTGACCTCGATTGCTCGGTTTGATGTGCTAGTGTGCTGGTGACGATGTGTTGTGAGAGTGTGTTGTGTGTGTTTGCCACAGCTGTTGCAGTTTTCACTCACGCCGATCGAGACTTGCTAGTCTCGCGGTGATTGAGTGAGTGTCGATTTGAAGAAAGTAAACCACGACACGTTTAAAAAAGCATGGGAGACCGGCCTGTGTTAAACTATGCCTTGTTTTTGTTTTGTTTTAGTATCGTCTAGTCCACAAATTAATTTGGAGTTTTCAAAATGGCGCTGTGTAGGATTCTTGCATGTATACAAGTATACATTTTCACAATAGGTGAGTTCATTTATTTTTATAATTAAAAAAGACAAATTATTGGAATGTATAATATATATCAAAGTAGGGGAAATCGTGGTCGAGGGGTAGCACTCATGAATGGCCCAACAGTCTGTGTTTTGATTCATGGGTCTTGATTCCAAAAAGCGCTTTGTCCATTCAACTTAAATGGGGACTGCATTGCAGCTTGAAATATAAAGGCTAGTTGAAAAATACTGACCGCACTCATATTTCAGTATACGAAATACGTTAAATGATCTTTAGATCCAATTATAAGAAAAGAGTCTATACTTTATATACAGGTGATTTTATTTAACATTAGACGAGTTTATTTGAACATTTGTATTAATAATTATCATAAAGACTAATTAAATGTAATTAATGAAAATAAAATGGACTTCGTGGTCTCGACGGAGAAAGCACGATTGTTAACTCCAAAAGTCCCAAGTTTCAGACTCCCGGGCAGACGAGACTAGACAGCCCGCGACAACAACCGATTTAGGAAAGAAAACTCTCAAATCAAACAACTACTGCCTTGTAGATTACAGTTGAGTAGGTAAAGGCTGTGTTTTCTCTCCAGAAAGAAAAACAAGCCTAAATAGATGCAACAAACCAATTGACGCATAAAATATTGATGTATGATATTTAAATGTGTTTAGGTAAATTCCGTCCAATTAAAAACGAAGGAAAATATTGAAACTGAATATTTATTTTTCCGTTGGTTTCGTTTATATAATAAGTTTGTCACATTTTCAAGCAGTTTAACCATGAAAAACAAATCAACATTAAGATAAGATTTGTGTACGTTTACTTTAAGATCTGAAACGTTAGCCTTCTTTAAAAACTGCAAAGGAAAATGTAGGTTAGCTTACAGGTTTTGTCTGATAAAGTTATTAATTGGTGTCCCTCTGCGATATATAAGTGGTTCATTTCCACAATTTTTTTTAAAAATGATAGTTTATGCCTGCTAATAATACTAGTGTCCTTGTGTTTGATGTGTGTGTGTGTGTCTGTGTGTTTGTGCTTGATACATTGAAATATCACAATTCACTTTTACATACTCAAACATTGATTTAGCTGCAACAACAATAACACTAACTTAATACATCTATTCACATAACCTTAGCTAGAGTAAGTCACGAAATACCACACATAACTTAACACTTTACCTCGCCTAGTCTAGACTAGTCTAATCATAACCAATGGATTACCTCGATCGGTATCATTCAAATAAATCTAATCCTTGCTACGTTGGATACAGCATAGGTGTTGGCTTAGTGAATAGAACTGTATAGCTAAGCGATTAATATATATATATATATATATATATATATATATATATATATATATATATATATATATATATACATATAGAAAAATATATGTTTCATGTGTATGAAAAAGATTGTGTAAAGTATTGTATGAAGTATCATAATCTGTTGTTTCTCCTTCATCTCTGGACAGTGTTAGTGGGATGTTCAGACCACAGTGAAGACAACTATCACATAGAGCCCCCAAACCCACCAGGTAAGACATGTGCACCCAACCCACTTCATCAAAATGCATACCCAGTAAGAGATGTGCCCCACCCCCTTAAAATACCACGCTTAGAGGTAAGACATGTCCCACCCCCCCCCCTCCCTTAAAATATCCCACCCTGTAGGTAAGACAAGTGCCCTCCCGACCATCACCCCCCCCCCGACCCCCATCAATTTAAATATAGTAGGTCAGTACTCTGACCCCCCCCCCCCCCACAATAACGCCTGTTATAACTGGTACTGAACAGTGGGTTATTTGTTACCAGTGTCTTCTATTGTTGAGATATGTTGTTGTTATGTGTGAGCGACTTACATCAGTGGTCCTATACTCAGGGATCCGGCATAAAAACACATGCGAGAATGTGATTTTGAACTCTGCGCCTGATGTAATGTAAGTTGGCTAAGTAATCTTGACAGGAAGATTGATGTTTTTGTTTGATATAATCATAGTTAGATGTACACGTTATACAAACTTATAATAAAATCAAATATACACACAACCATACTCACATGCACACACACAAATACACACTCACACACACAAATACACACACACACACACACACACACATATATATATATATATATATATATATATATATATATATATATATATATATATATATATATATATATATATATATATATATATATATATATATATATGCACATATACAAGTATATTACACAGTTGTTTAATTCAGCTTGCAAGAAAATCGAATTCAATATGGTGTCTTTTGTTTTAATGTCTATTGATTATAGTCGTAAAGAAAAGATATCTTAAGTCAGGGGTTCCCAACCCTTTTTTACTCTAGAGCACATTCTAAAATATCGGTATGGTTGCGGGCACCACCTATTTTAAATCGACAAACTCCTTCCATAACTAGTCATTTTCGCATAATTTATTTTCTTATTTTCTTAGTCATAATGTATTAATAAATATCAAACAAAAATGTTTCAAAATAATAAAATTATTTGGCATTTTTTTCAAATTGCATACACACAGAGAAATGTATTTACAAAACGTAAATAGTGCAGTCTGGCTCGCCGCTAGACAAGTTGGGACAAGTATCGAACATATTTAATAAACCTAGGCAGTCAAAAAAATTAAAACTGTAACAAATGAATAAAAAATAAATCATATTTTAAAATAATGTTTATGAAAAAAATTCTGTCTCTGCCGAATAGTTCATACGAATCGTTCAGCGGGCGCCATGGCGCCCGCGGGAACAGGGTTGGGAACCCCTGTCTTAAGTAATCCGAGAATAAACAATCCCACTCAATATAATCCCATCTCAAAGAATTATTTCTATAACAATCATTGCGCTATCAGATATTTCGTCTTTTTTTGAGTTAACGAACCAATAGATTTTAGATCAATGATAAAAAAAATAACAAAGCTATTATTTTGAAAATCATTGTTAATGAACAATGCTTAGTAGTTACAAGTTGATTAATATATTATTTTAATTATATGCATTGTTCATTATTGTATAATGATATAGTTATTGTATTTGCACGAAGAAAACTAACGAAATTAACAAGTTTTTTCGGTATTGGAGATCGGAGTGGTCGGGTCGGTTAAGCTTCAAACCCCAAGGCAGATGAGGCTCTTTAGCAAGAGACAGCAACTCTTCTAGGAGAGACAACTCCAAAATCAAGTAACTGCTGTTTTGTAGTTTGTTCTTTGTTGGACAAAGGCTATGGAAGCAGATCCAAAAAGAAAAGCAGGCTGAAATCGGAGTAACGGCCTGTTGTGGTTGTTACAGACGCATAACCAGTTGACACGTATAATTAATTGTTTTGTGGGAATCTCTTCCAACACCAGAATTAAGAACAAAGAAGAAAAGTACGATATTTAATAAGGTTTCAATACGTATAGTATTACCTGAGGTAATTTTAATTGTTTTAACAAATTAAAGATTAATAATGTATCCCTTGAAAGACGCTTAAGTGCCAACTGAAAATTCCGCCATTTCAAATTGTTAAAATAAAAGTACTTTATTGTCTAATCCATAAAAACGATACCACTTCAAAATATTGAATTTAAGCACGTTTCACAAAATGAAATTAAAAGTACGTATTGATCGATGAGTATACAAACGATACCACTTGAAAGTATCGAACAGCTAAGACCTTTACGTCTGAAGTACATGTCATTGTGCCTTCTTCCCCTCCCCTCCCCCCTCTTCCCAACACAACCTTCCCCTCACATCTAGGCCTAATTAAGTACCTATTGCACAGAAAATCTGCTCATAATTGATACACCTGACGTACTCTTAAGCATGCGATTCACCTTCTACATAAGGAAGTAGATAATGTAATAATGGCAGCGTTGTTCACCGACGAAAGCGTTATGTTATATTGTCCTTTATATTGTCCTCTATAATTCTATTAGTTCAAATCTTGTGAAGACACTGTATACATTCTACATCTATTTATCCTTGGCCCATCCCAGTACGTTGCCAACTATTCAGACGTGTCACTGTTCATCTTTTTGTTCAGTCTGTAAACCAAAATGTTGCGTGTTGAAATAGACCTAGGGTCGAAACTTCTATCGCAAAATTGTTCATAATTTGTAAACTTTCTGACAATACTAAAATCATCTAAATGAGTCAGGGGCGTAGCGAGGGGGGGGGGGGGGGGGCGGGGGGTGCGGACCGCACCGGGTGACACCATTTAGGGGGGTGACACCAAGGCAAAAAATAGCAAAATATATAGAGAAAAACTCGAGAGGGGGTGCAAATCGAAAGTTTGAGAGGGGGGGGGGGTGCAAATCGAAAACTTGAGGGGGGGGGGTGCAAATTGAAAATTTGAAAGTTTGTCCCTGGGAAGGGTCTCTATGCCTCTGGGGGGGGGGGGGGGTGACACCATTAAGTGCCGCACCGGGTGACACCCGACCTCGCTACGCCACTGAAATGAGTCAATACTCATATTACTCTAACCCACCCAACAATAGTTTAAATTCCGCTGAAGCATGCAGAAAGTATGACGAACATTAATCTTCGGTCACTTTAAAGCTTTCAATGGCTGTCTTGGGGCTTGCATGGTGGCTGAGGAAGTATGAGCTAGATAGATTCAGGAACCGAACTCGAGACTTACAGGTACTAGCCTTGCGCGTTACTGCTCGACCATAAAAACATTCAAACTAGCACTAAAAATAGAATTTTTCGTCCTCTCTCAAGGTGCGACCTACCCCATCCTGCTGCACGAGCGTGACGTCATACATTACGTAGACATCAACAAAGAGTTTGTGTACGTGGGGAATGGCGCCTACGCCAACATCACCCAGGGGGAGCTGCGAGACACGGGCACCCCCGTCATCATCAAGAAGTTTGGCAACTCGCCGTTTTATGATATCATGCACGAGGCCAGAATACACAGGTAGTGGTCAGTGGTAGTGGTTAGTGTAGGTAGTGGTCAGTGGTAAGGGTTAGTGTAGGTAGTGGTCAGTGGTAGGGGTTAGTGTAGGTAGTGGTCAGTGGTAGGGGTTAGTGTAGGTAGTGGTCAGTGGTAGGGGTTAGTGTAGGTAGTGGACAGTGGTAGAGGCTACTATAGGTAGTCGTCAGTGGTAGAGGTTAGTGTAGGTAGTGGACATTGGTAGATAATACTGTAGGTAGTGGAAAGTAGATGATATATGCACTAGCGTATATGCTACTATAGGTAGTGGTCAGTGGTAGATGATAAAATAGGTAGTAGACATTGATAGAGGCTACTGTATGTAGTGGACAATGGCATACATATATATATATATATATATATATATATATATATATATATATATATATATATATATATATATATATATATATATGAGTGCAGACTTTCATCTTTTCCTCATTAAGATTTAGTCTAATCGTCAGTTAACAATATTTAGTTTATTTTTTTTAGTTTTTCTGACTAGAAATTGTCGAATATTAAAAAAAAGTAATACGATGATTTTTTTTAATTACTTGATTATAGACGTTAATGCATTAACTATAAACTACTAGGCCTAATTAATTATATTAATTAATATTTAACAATTGTGTTTTACAAATCTTTTTTAATTATAGGAATTTGGGTGTAGCACGGTAGTTTAATAAACAATGCAATATCTCTTTCAGACACTTGGAACACCTCAACATAACGCCGCGTCTGATTGGTTTTATCCCGGCTGGAGATATGTCCCGCAACATTTCATTGGTCTACGAATACGTCACCAACTCACGCAATGTTTACCAACTCATCGACGACCGAATTTCGTTAACGAGATCACAATGGATCCAAGTATGCATGGAAACAGCTATGATGTTACGCCAGCTACATCTTCACGAGGTCCTCTACAACGACCTGCACCGAAAAAATATTTTAGTTCAAAAAGTGGCGGACCAAATTAAAACGTACATTATTGATTTTGGCCTGGCCACTTACAAAACCGGCAAGTTGTACAAGAACGATGAGAAGTCTATCGAAGGCTACAATTACCTTGCACCGGAATTGGTCAACAGAACTTTCACGAACGAAGCCTCCGATGTCTTTGCTGTGGGGTACGTCATCTCCAAGATCACAAAGAGGTGCAACCAGCAATGTTTGCGAAACCTCGGCCGATGGTGCCTAGCCAGAGATCCTAAGGACCGACCGGATCTGACTGCTGTGATAGCGAAACTAGAACAATGTTATTTCGAGGAGACAATGTACTACGAGTTACGTAACTGCCCGAGTCAGTTCTGCTTGGAACTTTCAAAAATTAGATTTTCTGAAATATATAACAACGAAACAAACATGACGTTGGTTTTTGATACATTTTTTCAAAAAACAAGAACATTGATCTCGTCTTTAAAACTCCAAGACACCAAGCAACCCCTTTTTAAACAGACAGCTTGGATAGACATAAGTGAAGACTACTTACAATGCAACTGCCGCTTGCAAGTTCTCAACGAAGACGATTTCGTCCAAGGCTATATGGAGTATATAAAAAAAGCCGACAACTTCACAGACACGGCAATCAGGCTTGGGAAATTAAAAGAAAACAACGAAACCGTTATCGTGAAAGAGTTCTACGATGTTGATTTTGAAGACATACGTCACGAAGCTTGTGTGAACGCTTTGTTAGCAGAGAAGGGCGTGGCACCTTTATTTATAGGTCTGGCGATTGAATACAAACTTTTAAAAGACGCCGCTTTCGTGGAAGAATACTTCGGGGCGGGCGTCACTTTGAAGGTTTTTGTGGAAGAGACCCGCGGGTATGATTGGAGTTTAAGACGGATGAAGGCCGTAGCTCAGGATGAAGACTATATGGAGTCAGACAACCCACGCGCCGACGAGTGTCGAGTTAATTTGGTTGAAATTTTGTTCGCCCTGGTCGCCGATATCTCACGCCCCGTCTGCAAGGCGAAATCTCTCAGGCAACGAATTCTCGAGAACATCTCCCTCAAGTTCATCTCCCATACCCTATCAACCCACGAAGCTGGCGTGTTGATAAACAATTTAAGACTCGAAAACACCATCGTTAAATGGAACGATACGGTCCAAAGAAAACCTTTACCGAGAATCGATACTATAATAGATATAAGACTTATCGATCTCGCCCTAGCAACGTCGTTGTTAGATGGTATTCAGTATAAGAAAACACCACTTATCGACAATACATATCACTACCTGGCACCAGAAGTTGTGTTGGGGTGGAAGTCAACTGTCAAATCAGACACCTTCAGCATGTGCTACGCTCTGCAGAGGATCATGAAGGAGTATTTCTCCGCCAACGACGTGGCGTCGGAATTTGGGAAATACCGATTCAAGTCAAAACTAGGTCACCGGGCGCCCCTCTGCCAAAACGAGGCGTGCTCGGTGAAACAGAACAACAGTACCGTATCCATGACAACAGGTACACAATCTGCAGACGTGTCCAATCGGATTTCCCCTTATAGCAAATATCAAGATTTGCTTTTAAAATGTCTGTCGAGATCGCCAAAAAACAGACCAAGCATTCAGGAAATTTTTAACGCATTGCATCATCTTTCATTCAATGACATTCATTGGCTGTGGTTTTAGATATTAAATTTTTTTTTTAAATACGTTGTTTTTTGCTGTTTTGTTTTTACAAAAAATTAATGAAATCTTAAAAAGACAAAATTATATTTTGGCAGAGAGCTACTAAATAAAACCCACTATACAAGTAATAATATTATTTAAAAAATAATTTCTACACACAAAAGGACATAAGCTATTAAAGTACGGGGGGATGACTCCTACCGTATTGTATAAAATCAAATAAACAATGTTACGTCCCTTTCAATCAAGTATTAGGATTACTGAATTTATTTTTAACTTTAGGAGTATAAACAAACCAATTAAAATTAATAACTTAGTTGCTTCTCTTTCTCTTATCCACAACGTACATTAATATTTGATTTTAAATATTAAATCTGCACTTACAAATCATAAAAAATATAATTACTTGTAAGCTAATGTACACCGTAATACACTCGCTAAGTGCTTGTCCATAGGTTACGCTACTTTAGTTCACTTAACTCTTTGCCTCTCATTACGACAGTTAGTCAAATAATAAAAAAAAAATTAAAAAAAAAAAAGCCAAATGACCAACCATGTCCACAACATGACCCGTCAAAATAAATCGGTAAAGTTTTTTTTAAATAACTAGCTATATATATATATATATATATATATATATATATATATATATATATATATATATATCCACGCACACGCACACACACACACAAACAGCCACACGTACACGCGCACACACACATACGCACACACACAAACACACGCATATATATATATATATATATATATATATATGTTTATTTATTTATTTATTTATACATATATGATATATCTTCATTGCCCACGCCACACCAAGTTTGCAACTCTGCATTAAGTACAACATAAGTAGTCGACTCCTCTGTTTTCACTAGATGTGTGTGGGATGTATTAATATGCGACGCCTTAATCACATGATGATCACAGCTCAGTCACATGAGACAAAACAACTCATCGCTATAAATAGATGACCGATAACTCTGGCTATCTCAAATTTGTTAGTCTGGCTGTCTGCTTGTTGACGTATTTTTGTCTCATTTGTTTCTAACATATAGATATATTTTCTTTTTATCCATATCGAGGCTCTCTGTTTGAATCTATATATATAATTCTCTTCTGGGATCAGTTAGAAAACAAGCTGCAAGCGCCTCCTTGCAGTCCCCTCTCTTTCTCTCTATCACTATCACTAACATCCCCCACCCCACCCCAACATTGTCTGGTGAGCGGTGTTCACTCTAAATTTTTACAAAGCTAAATGTTTACAAATCGTAAAGCCGTACAGCCGGGTTTCTATTAGGGGCAGATAATTTAGTTCGATTTTTAAACTTACAGGGGGTAATTAAGAATTAACTAAGAGGAGGCTGCTTTCGAGGGGGGGGGGGGGGGGGGGTGTGTAGGGTCGGGGTTAGGGGAAAGGGGGGCGGGTTAGTGTTTTAAAGCAAATATTTTCAGTGGCAGCATTGGTACTGTCGAATTCACAAATTATGAATTACTGAAAAGTAGAAAATAAAACAACTAAATAGCGGCGTATGATACGCTGCGGGTCGGCTCGTACTGTTGTATTAGCGTGCGCTTTACAAAGGTTTTTTCTTATTAGTTTTAATGGACGTGGATCTACTGCTTTATTTCCCTTGATTGATTATTTCCCTTAGATATTAAGATTTAGTATTGAACAGAAACAGCACAATAATTATACAAAGCTGTTGATAATCGTATTTTTTTATAAGCACGTATAACTGATAAATAAAATAAAAATTACTATTTCTGTATTAGAAATTGCATGAAAAAAGGCGAAAATTAAAAATTAAATGAGTTTGATCATGAAAAAAACGACTTGAGTCGGGTTGAAAATGTATGAAGTCTTGAAGTTTTACAGATGAATCAACGTTCAGGAATTCAGCTGAGTTCAAGTTGTACACACCACCTGTGGGAAATACGTATAATAAAATTAATTTATACGAGTGTAACATTTGCGCTACGCTCTTAGTCTATCAATTTTAAATTGGGAAGGTAGGTTAGTATCAAGACTAGTAAGCATAGAAAGAAAGTTCGTCGAACTTGACATTTCATGGAGCATATGAAGTAGAGTCCACCTGTTTTTGTGACCGCTCTTATAATTTTCTACGTACCTGAGCCCGGATTCGAACTCGAGACAATTGAGTTAGCAGTCGTACGTTCTATCACACGACTACTCCGTCACTAGTATCAAGACTAGGTTGGAGTTTATTTGGTTTTTTCAATCATTATAAATGTGAGAGCTATATTTTGTTTGACTCAGAGACCTGCCAACAGGGAAAGTATTAGGGTCTAATACAGGGGTCTCCAAACTACGGCCCGCGGGCCAGATGCGGCCCGCGAGGTCCTTTCATCCGGCCCGCGGAGATCTTTTTGTCCACAGAAATAACGTTTGTTGGTGATGGCTGAGCATCTTTGCCCAGAAAAATCAAAGACATGCCTGGAAGAAACTGGCCCCCGAACTGAAATTTGATATTTAATGCGGCCCTCGGACTGAAAAGTTTGGAGACCCCTGGTCTAATATATAAGGCTAGTAATTTTTCTCTAAGGCAGTTTTGTACAACACTATTGTGTATGAACGATGGTGGATGTAGTATAGTGGATGTACGACGATTTGTGTAGATGGGTGGATGTGGTATGGTGAATGTATTATGGTGTATCTGGATTTTGTGGTTGCTGGATGGTGGGTGTGGTATGGTGGATGTAGCATAGTGGAAGTAATAAGGGTGGATGTGCTGTGGTGGATATAGTATGGTCAGTGCGATATGTTGTATGTGGTTTTGTGGTTGTATAATTGTGGATGTTGTATTATAGATGTAGCATAGTGGATGTAGTTTTGTGGTTGCTATATGGTGTATGCACTATGATAGATACATTTTGTTGACTAGAGTGCTTTCTGACAAGTTGTGTTTGATGTGAAATTAGTTATTATAATATCACGTGACATAGTTACAGGTAAACAAGGTATCCTCCTGCCAGGAACAGAACTGACAACAGGACTGCCCTGTGGACATGAGGACCTTCTCCTCGTTGATGACGTTCAGGTTCTGATACCAAATCTACGGTGAAAGAATAATGTCAACTGTTTCATAGATAGGAAACTAAATAGAATATTTTTGAGAAACACAAAAATACATGGGTTGGTGGAGGCTGGTCAATTGATGCAAATTAGAAACACGTAGACATGATGCTAAAAAATATGTCAAGTTCTTTTCTTCTTCTTCGTTCTTAATTATTAGTGTTGAAGGGGATCGAGATTTATCTGCCAGTGGGTTTGAACTCGAGACTTTGTTCGAATTTATCAACCATGAGCTTTTTGCCGACTCGACCACGCCTCCAACACAATTAAGCGTTACGTGTCAACTGGTTATGCGCCATTAGGCCATTGACTCCGATTTCAGCCTGCTTTTCTTTTTGGATTTGCTTCCATAGCCTTTGTCCAACCAAGAACAATCTACAAGGCAGCAGTTGACAAGCAATTTTTAGACGATACGTTTGTTGCAATATATATATATATATATATATATATATATATATATATATATATATATATATATATATATATATATATATAGATATATATATATATATATATATATATATATATATATATATATATATATATATATATATATATATATATATATATATATATCTATATATATATATCTATATATATATATATATATCTATATATCTATATATATATATATATATATATATATATATATATATATATATATATATATATATATATATATATATATATATATATATATATATATATATATATATCTATATATATATATATATAAATATATATATATATAGATATATATATATATATATATATATATATATATATATATATATATATATATATATATATATATATATATATATATATATATATATATTCTCTAGCCTGTATTAACTCCGTTTTGTGATTGTTCTTGATATATACACCATTTTGTTCTAGTTTCACCTAAATTTCACGGTAAGAAAGACGTGTCGTCATACCTTCTTAACGTTATTACACAAGTTATTTCATATGCATTTAGTATAGAAATGCAAAGAAAAACTTAAAGCTTTGCTAAGAACACTACAAACCCTTAGCATAGAACCGGAAAGTCTCATGTTCGAATCCGGGTTTTAGTCAGTACAACGTCACAAAGTCCACCCAGCTCTGATGGGTACTTAAGTTAGAAAAAGTAAAGGCGGCTAGGCATGGTGCTGAGCACAGTATTCATTTATATGCCGAGTTCATAGGCACAGTTAAACTCTACTTCACTTGTCAAATGGACCGTCATGTTCTAAAAAAGAGCTTAACTTACTGACATTACCTCATTTATGTAACTCACCTGTGGAATACTGCAACTGTCAGTATTCGGGATGACCCTGACACTGCTACACACCAGGTAATGTCCAGTGTGCTTGATGCCAATATAGTCCTCGTAGAAGTCGAGAAACTTGACATTCTCTGTAAAGTTCTCTGTGACAAACGCTAAGGTGTCTGCCCCACTGGTTGTCGTACTAACAGACTGGCCGTCCTCATAAAACTTCTCTACTGTAAGATTTTTTTTTTTAAATCATTATTCATTTTATACCGAACACAGTTGAAAATTGGTTTCATTTAGTTTAGTTTAGACCAGCGTATGCCATGTATTTGAAAATAATTACATTATTAACACTTAGGTACCTTAGATCAGGGAGGATATTTTTGTTTCTAATTTTTTTTTGACAAAAAAGAATAAAATTAAACTGTTTTTTCTACTTGTTTTAGGATTTGTTTTATGTATCTATAGAAGACGAGACTCACCAGACCATGTGGGGGTGAGGGTGGTTGCGATATGCCTAGAGAGGAAGAGAGGGGGCTGATAGGAGGTGCGCTTACAGCTTGGTGTTTTCTAACGGCTCCCAACACTAACCCCCCCCCCCTTTCCCCTTAGCCCGACCCTACACCCCCCCCCCCCCCGTGAAAGCAGCCTCCTCTTAGCTACCTCCTGGAAGTTTAAAATCGTTTCAGACTAAATTATCTGCCCCTAATAGCCGTCACTAAACCCGATTTATAAACATTTAGCGTGATCACAGCTCACCAGACCATGTGGGGGTGGGGGTGGTGGTGATAGTGATAGAGAGAAAGAGAAAGAGAGGGGACTGCAAGAGGCGCGCTTGCAGCTTGTTTTCTAACGTCTCCCAGAAGATAATTATAATTATATATATATATATATATATATATATATATATATATATATATATATATATATATATATATATATATATATATATATATATATATATATATATATATATATATATATATATATATATATAGATCTCTACGTTGGACCATGCGGGACACCACCACCACCACCACCACGTACGCACGCCTAACCGTGGGAAGGGAGGGTGAGGATAATCGTCTTTTACGAGGTACTAATGTTTTAAAGCAAAATATTTTCAGTCGAAGCATTGGTAGTGCAGAATTCACAAATTATGAATTACTGAAAAGTAGAAAAAAACAACAACAACGCGTGTCGACTTGTAAACAAAATTAACACTAAATCATTCGGTGACGATTGGTTAGTTATGCTAGATACATTGTTAAAGCTTAATGTTGTTTACAGATGATTTGCCATTACACATTTAGTTTAGAGTGGTAGTGGTGTCAGAAGTAGGGTGAAGGCTGAGCTTAAGGTCATGGGCCCCAGTAATGAAGGTAGGCTAGGGTCATGGGCCCCAGTAATGAAGGTAGGCTAGGGTCATGGGCCCCAGTAATGAAGGTAGGCTAGGGCAGGACTTCGGTTTATGCGGGGGTGGGAGGTGGGGCTAATGTTCGATTTAGGTTTGGGTTAGGGTTATATTTATTTGATAGTAGAGTCGATTTAGTGTGTTTCATGTATGCTAGATACATTGTCTGCAACTTACTTGTATTGAAGAATCCGGAGTAAGGCAGACTAGCAAAGATTGGTTTCTTCCTAAACTAAACAAATATTGAAACGTTTTAACGAAAATTTAAAATAAATCATAGAGATAATTGCTAAAAAGTATTAATAATGATAAATAGGATTTTTTTAGGGGGGGGGGGGGGTCTTTAACTGATATCTCATACATCAGGACAAAGGCGGAGACTCGATTCAACAGCAACTTTATGAGGCAAAATACTTTTGACTGCTATATTATTTTTTTAAATAAAGAAGAAGCAATTTTCTGTTGTTATTTGTATAAAGAGATTTAAAGCTGATTATTCCACCATTACAACAGTATTGTTATTAACTAAAGGGAAGTAATAAAGTAAAATGTTGATACGACCTCACATAGTCACACCTTTGTCAGGTTAATCTCCCTTGGCATTTCAGAACTTCGTTGAATTACATTCTATGGAATATATTATACATCTTTAAATACACCCTCATAATTTGCATTGATAAAATAATTAAGCCTAAAACTATAAATCAAAACTGCATGAAAAAGTTTTAAGAAAGTTAAATGTGTCGTTATTTACATTATACGTAAAGATAAAACAATGAATTGAATTTGTAAGTATGACATTATGTCTTAGCAAATATCTTTATAGCTTACCTGTGGTAGTGTCCAAACATAGCTACACAAGGCGATATGCACCGCAAGAACGACAGAGATAAGAATAATAGCTCTGGAAAGAAAATTTTAACAAAACCGAAAACAAACAGAAAAAAAGTGTTTTATAATTTACAAATGTAAATGCATAATCTAACAAGACATTAATCGCGAAATTGACATCTGATTTGTCTATATAGGGTCTTAATTAGATGAAGAGGCAATGTAATGTAATGGGTGTAGTATGGGGGATGTGTTGTGGTAGTTGTGGTTTTGTGGTTGCGGTTTTGTGGTTGCGGTTTAGTGGTTGCAGGATAATGGATAAGAATTGTTTTTCCCCGTTTATCTGCCGACATAACATTTATTGTTTGTATATTTCCCGTATGTTAACCACTACCATTAACTACAACAAAAATATATTTAAAAAAAACACGCTAATAGTATAACCACATCAGTACGTTAAAACTATTCCTAGTAAAGGCAATACAGATGAAGCCATTGTGACTTTATGTAAAAAATAGACCTAGAATAAAACAATATGTTAGCCCTAACTTTAGGTACTGATAAAACTGATAAATATAGTATACAAATAAACATTCGTCATTGCTGATGTCATTATGTAGGAAGTGATATTGGATGCCGCCGTTGTTACTTTGATAGTTAATAAGGAGTTGAGAAAACACAAAATGAAAACAACATCAATGAATAATCCATGATGTATAAAATTAAATAAATACATCAACATTAAATTAATATAAATCGCCTATGTTTCTTTAATAAAACTATCTGATAAAGGTAGAAAATAAGCATAGATATCGCACTGTATGAAATATTTAATCTCCGTGCTGTAGCTTAATAGGTGGATATAAAACATTAATCTTTAATAATTAATGCAAAATTTAAAAAAAAAACGTTACGCAAAACACAAAAGAAAAAAAAAAAAACAAAAACAAAATAATAAAAGAATGGTATGCTTCTTCTTACCTTTCCATTACCGAACTGAGCTAACAGTATACACAAATGATAAGTGTTACTATTAATAACGATGAATTTTGGCACGGTTCACTGAACCGTGATATGCTGGTGATAGCTGGCTTTTTTTTATCTTAGTTTTAAATTTTAATCCTTTATAATAGATAGTTACATAATCTGTTATAGTTGGTTTTTATTCTTTAGAACGTCCATTTGAAGGATGTCCTTAGAGTAAAGTTATTTATATTCTTAATTTATTTACTGTTTAGACAAATTATAACAGAAAATATGTGATAAGGAAAGAAGTTTTTGAACAGCTTGGCATAGCGGTAGAGAGCCAAACTGCTAACCGGAAAGTCTCGAGTTCGAATCCGGATTAAATTTAGTAGAATATCATTGAGTCCATCCAGCTTTGATGGCTACCTGACTCAAGTTAGATTCTGGCCACATTATCCCTGCATATGCCTAGGTCTCTGAAGCAGATTAACGCTACATTATTTGCCCTCCCCGACCATTTTAGTCCGCCCCCCACCCAAACATTTCAAGGACCCCCACCCACTTCGAATATGGAAGACTTATATAATGTCATCCAAAGTCATTCTCGAACAACCTGAGATAAAGAATCGTTACACATCCCGATGCTGACTACTTTATTTACTACTTACTTTAAGAAATGAGGTAAGTAAACACAAATGTTAGCAACATGTCTTTAATGAACAGTGATCATCAGATTAGTACAATATTTCGATTAACAAAAAATATACAAGTACTTATTAATTTAAAAAAAAAGCACTGTCAATTAAGCATTGGGTTTAAAACTTTTTGTTTATAAATTATCAATTTCAAAAGTATGAATATAAACTGAACATTGAGTGAAAATTCAAAAGAAAAAAAAATATAATTTCATCATAATATAATTGTATAATTCAAAACTATTCAGACTGTAAATATTCGTTACAACACCATTTCCACTGTTATAGTATGTGATTTTTTGTAATTAGCTAACACAAAAATATACACTCACTGCAGTGGCGTAGCGAGGTCGGGTGTCACCCGGTGCGGCACTTAATGGTGTCACCCCCCAGAGGCATAAGAGGCATAGAGACCCTTCCCAGGGACAAACTTTCAAATTTTCGATTTGCACCCCCCCCCCCTCAAACTTTCGATTTGCACCCCCCCCCCCCTCGAGTTTTTCTGTATATATTTTGCTATTTTTTTGCCTTGGTGTCACCCCCCTAAATGGTGTCACCCGGTGTGGTCCGCACCCCCCGCCCCCCCCCCCCCCCTCGCTACGCCCCTGACTCACTGTATAGTTATAAGTCACTGATATATTTTAATAATATCGTAACAAATTTTAATATATATATATAACCCTTACAACCATACTTAACACCATTCACCATACATATAATAAAATATCTCTATACCAGTTTATAGTTCATGCTTGTTTAATTTAGTTTTCATTTACACAATAAGGCTGTAGGTCACATAGACAATTGGTCAAGTTTAAATGACGTGTACACAATAGGTCTAGTTAAAAAACAGATTATAAAAAAATAAATAAAACACATTCTTAAATGGGCGTCCGCAGAATTCTAGCAAATAATGAGGAATAGAGGAAGGGAAGGTTTTTGAAGCTGGTCTTCACCCTGTTGGATCATGACATCACTCACATCATTAGAAAGTTCATTTCAATTTCTCTTAATAATTGAACATTATCTTAATGACTCAGCGTTTTAATTTCCGTTTCACAAGAGGACTTGGGCTGCGAACGCCCCAAGCACAAAACTTTAAATAACTTATCTAGCCACAGAAGCAAAGTATATTTTTTTTATACTCAGTAGCTAAAATGTGCAAATTAAAAGAAAAAAAAGGGTAATTAGGGAAAATCACAAAGGGACCTAACTTTTAAAAGAAGATCACAAAGGGAGATAACTTTTAAAAGAAGAGCAGAAAGGGAGAAAACTTTTTAATAAAGATCACAAAGGGAGATAACTTTTAAAAGAAGATGACAAAGGGACATAACTTTTAAAAGAAGATGACAAGTGGACATAACGTTTGAAAGAAGACTGCAAAGGGACATAACTTTTAAAAGAAGATGACAAGGGGACATAAGGGCGACATGAGGTACTTGCTGCCGTCTGAGCTCTGTTTCCAGTAGCACTGTGGCATCAAGAGGAAGTTCCCTGGCCGGATGCCGGAAGTCCAGTCTAGAGTGTACCCCCAGCTGGCCAGATTGGCCGCTGACTGACCCTCGCTCGTGTCCATGATAAAGTGGGCGGTGTCTCCTTTCACATCCTATGGGAATATTTTAGTTTGCCTTAATTAATAGCTTAACGGTATAAAGTGAATAACCCTCATAACCCTTATATATATATATATATATATATATATATATATATATATATATATATATATATATATATATATATATATATATATATATATATATATATCTATATATATAAAGCAAAGTGGTCAAGTGCCCGATAGGGCACTTCCCGGCGCCGCAGGCGCGTCAAATTTGGCACGATGGTGCCTTCGGGCGATAGAACACGAAGGCCGGTGACGGTTGGCCGAAAAATATACGGAGAGGGGGTCAAAACTGACCTCGACTGACCGGCGCCTTATATGGGCTATATTAAGAAAAAAAAATTCCGACGACGACCCCCCTTGAAATTTTGTGAGGTGGTAGGAGAACCCCTTGGGGTGTCACAAAAAACTCGGCATATCTGGGAAAACTTCGTAAAGGGGTCAAAACTGACCAGTCGTATTTCCCTATATAATCTTTGTATTTTATGGGGAAAACAGAGGGTCATTTCAAAACGGATTTTAGGGCACTTACCTTCTTTCCATCTGGCTAAGTTTTGGCATGCTTATAGGTAAATGGCTTGGCCGTAGGGCAGACATGTCGGTTTCACTCAAAGCCCTCGACGAGGGCTAAAAAGTGACCGCGAGTGAAATTCTCTTTATATGAGCTATATTACGAAAAAAAATTTCCTCCGACGACCCCCCTTGATATTTTGTGAGGTGGTAGGAGAATGCCTTGGGGTGTCACAAAAAACTCGGCATATCTGGGAAAACTTCGTAAAGGGGTCAAAACTGACCAGTTGTATTTCCCTATATAATCTCTGTATTTTATGGGGAAAACAGAGGGTCATTTCAAAACGGATTTTAGGGCACTTACCTTCTTTCCATCTGACTAAGTTTTGGCATGCTTATAGGTAAATGGCTTGGCCATAGGGCAGACATGTCGGTTTCACTCAAAGCCCTCGACGAGGGCTAAAAAGTGACCGCGAGTGAAATTCTCTTTATATGAGCTATATTACGGAAAAAAATTTCCTCCGACGACCCCCCTTGATATTTTGCGAGGTGGTAGGAGAATGCCTTGGGGTGTCACAAAAAACTCGGCATATCTGGGAAAACTTCGTAAAGGGGTCAAAACTGACCAGTCGTATTTCCCTATATAATCTTTGTATTTTATGGGGAAAACAGAGGGTCATTTCAAAACGGATTTTAGGGCACTTACCTTCTTTCCATCTGGCTAAGTTTTGGCATGCTTATAGGTAAATGGCTTGGCCGTAGGGCAGACATGTCGGTTTCACTCATAGCCCTCGACGAGGGCTAAAAAGTGACCGCGAGTGAAATTCTCTTTATATGAGCTATATTACGAAAAAAAATTTCCTCCGACGACCCCCCTTGAAATTTTGTGAGGTGGTAGGAGAACGCCTAGGGGTGTCACAAAAAACTCGGCATGTCTCGGAAAAATCGGGAAGTGGGTCAAAACTGACCAGTCGTATTTCCCTATATAATCTTTGTATTTTATGGGAAAAACAGAGGGTCATTTCAAAACGGATTTTAGGGCACTTACCCTCTTTACATCTCGCTAATTTTCGGCATGTTTATAGGTCAATGGCTTGGCCGTACGGCTGACCTGTCAGTTTCACTCAAAGCCCTCGACGAGGGCTAAAAAGTGACCGCGAGTGAAATTCTCTTTATATGAGCTCTATTACGGAAAAAAATTTCCTCCGACGACCCCCCTTGATATTTTGTGAGGTGGTAGGAGAATGCCTTGGGGTGTCACAAAAAACTCGGCATATCTGGGAAAACTTCGTAAAGGGGTCAAAACTGACCAGTCGTATTTCCCTATATAATCTTTGTATTTTATGGGGAAAACAGAGGGTCATTTCAAAACGGATTTTAGGGCACTTACCTTCTTTACATCTGGCTAAGTATTGGCATGCTTATAGGTAAATGGCTTGGCCGTAGGGCAGACATGTCGGTTTCACTCATAGCCCTCGACGAGGGCTAAAAAGTGACCGCGAGTGAAATTCTCTTTATATGAGCTATATTACGAAAAAAAATTTCCTCCGACGACCCCCCTTGAAATTTTGTGAGGTGGTAGGAGAATGCCTGGGGGTGTCACAAAAAACTCGCCATGTCTGGGAAAAATCGGGAAATGGGTCAAAACTGACCAGTCGTATTTCCCTATATAATCTTTGTATTTTATGGGGAAAACAGAGGGTCATTTCAACGCAGACTTTAGTGTACATAAACTCAGTATATCTGGCTAATTTTTTGCATACGTTTAGGTCAATGGCTTGACCTTTAGGGAAAACTGTCGGTTTGACTCAAAGCCCTCGACGAGGGCTAAAAAGTGACCGCGAGTGAAATTCTCATTATATGAGCTATATTACGAAAAAAAATTTGCTCCGACGACCCCCTTTGAAATTTTGTGAGGTGGTAGGAGAATGCCTGGGGGTGTCACAAAAAACTCGCCATGTTCTGGAAAAATCTTGAAATGGGTCAAAACTGACCAGTCGTATTACCCTATATAATCTTTGTATTTTATCGCAAAAACAGGGAAATTTTAACACAATTTTTAGGTTACTTAACGTCTGTACATCATGCTAAGTTTTTGCATACACTACTATAGATGACTAGGCCGTATGGAAAAACTGTTGGTCAGACTCAAAGCCCTCGACGAGGGCTAAAAGATGATCGTGAGTGAAATTCTCCTTATATGAGATATATATTTAAATAAATTGACGAATGATCCCCTTAGTATTATATGACGTCGTAGACCGACCCTGGAGGGTAACAAAAAAACTTTATTCCCGTCGGAAACAGCCATTATAGTCGTTAAATATGTTCATATACCGTAATTTCTTATCTAAGCATAGCAACTGTTTGCAAAAAACAGTAAACAAAGACATACTTAATACGTTCAGTTTTCAAGGGAGGTAACGTTTTTAAAATTATCATTTTTCAAATAATTGTATACTATTTTCAACCGAAACATAAAATGACGAAGTATAGCATTTGTTTTAGTACAAAATTAAGTTGTTTATTCAGTTACGTATCCTAATTAAATAATCAAATAAATTTCAAAAGGCAATGTAATATAAACTGTTAGATATACTGTTTATGGAACCTGTGTAGTTCTAATTCCGTTTTAGTTATAGATTGCGTACTTTCCAATATTTCTTTGCGAACGGCATTTAAATGACAAACAAAAACCTTTTTTCTAACGATAGCATTACCGTTTAAATTAAAGCACTCCACACCCAACCCATCGCTAAATTATTAAGTATTCAAATTCTCAATGTTTTTTAAAAACCTAAGCGAAGCTAGGCAGTATGCCTAGTATATATATATATATATGATTTAAAGAATACAGAATTTGTAAAATACAAATGTTTTTAAAAACTGTATGTTTCTTAAAGAAAACAAACTGCTTTCTATATTATATTCCTTGAGGATAAGTCAAAGTGTTTTCTCTAAAACAAAAGTGACTTTGGTTTACAATGATTATTAAGGATATGTTAGGTATAATAATAAAATAGTGGGTGTTTATAAACATTAGCATAGCTTTAGAGTAGCCCCTCAAAAAGATAGTTTGTTTCTGTTGTGTATTTGTATCAAGTGTAAATAAGTAAGTTATCTTGTTTTAAGCGGCAGTGGGGTCGAGTGGTAGAAAGCATTCCTGTTAACTGGCTATTTAGGGTTCAAATCTTGGTTCGAAATCTTATGACGTTGCTGTGATAAGATTTGTAAACGGACCCAAGTTGGGAGAAGTAAAGATGCCTGGACATAATGCTGACCACACAATACACGAATATAAAGTCACAGACACATATAGACTAGATGATCCTCTGTTCTGTATTGTTTTTGTTGGCATACAAAGTCTTGCAGTGATAACAAATCGTGGAAGGGTATTCTAGTCTCAGCCTTTATGATAAGGTACAACTTAATTTTTGGTTTTTCACGAATAAATAAAATAAACACAGGTGTTGGCATACAAAGTCTTGCAGTGATAACAAATCGTGGAAGGGTATTCTAGTCTCAGCCATTTTGATGAGGTACAACTTAATTTTTGGTTTATCGCGAATAAAATAAAATAAACACAGGTGAACTAAATATGTATTAAGATAAAGAGCGTTGCTTATTGTATACCTGTAATGTGAGCAGGTAAAATTTCGTGTGTTGGACGACTTGAATAATCTCAGCTAGAAGCCCAACACCAGTGCCTTTAGCGTCTGTTAAATAAAATAAAAGTACTTGAAAGTGTGACATTATATCCTGCGCCTTTAGCGTCTGTTCAGTAAAATAAAAGTACTTGAAGCTCTAACAATATATTTGTAATAACTTTTTAGCCCTCTATAAATTTGTACTGTTTATTATATTTATTTAGATAACCACTACCAGTTTAGGTTTCCCTCTTTTTTGCTGTTCATAGGATTTTTTAAAATTAATTTAAAATGACTAATGACTAATTAGATACAAATTAAAATTGTATTACTATGTAATGGAATAAACATGTATTTTCAGGGTCTGATAGAAATGTATCGATTAGAAATAGTTCTAAATTGTGTTTCAAGATTTAACCGCAAACATTGTAAACAGAGTTTCTCTCAGACATCTTCGGGGAGGCTCTGTCCCCCCTCCCCCCAAAAAAGTCTAACCCCCCCCCCCCCCGACTTTTACTTTTACTAGTGTCCGACCCCCCCCCCTCCCCCCGCCCCAGAAAATGTTGTTCCCCCCCCCCCCCCCCCCGTAAATATCAAGTGCCACCATTGAGAAAATAGTCTGGAAGAAACACTGTAAACCTAAGTAAACGCGTGTGAGATAGACGTACGTTCGACCGTGCTGGGTACCAGGTTAAACTGGGCTATCAGACAATTGCTGCCTGCAGACATTGGGTTCCTGAGGAACTCGTTCTTCTTCTGCGTGAAGTAGACGTACCTGTCTGAAAATATAAGACATACCTGTCTGAAAATATAAGACACACCTGTCTGAAAATATAAGACACACCTGTCTGAAAATATAAGACACACCTGTTTGAAAATACAAGATATAGGCCTACCTGTTTGAAAATAAAGGACATACGGGTGTCTGAAAATGTAACACATACCTGTTTGAAAATAAAGTATATACCTGCTCTGAAAATAAAAGGCAATACTTCTATAGGTGCCAGCATCACATTACTCAACTTTACTTATTTACATTGGTATCCTCAGCTTACCTCTATTCTTCATTACACGTAGCCTAACCTGTATCTCAATACAGTTCTCACACTTTAGCAGTAAACACTCAACTATAACACCATACATAACAAAATATACTTACATTAATCGAATGTAGCGCTATGCATTTATTTTAGAAAATGGTAGAACAATGATTTCGTCACATGTTTTGTTTATATGTTTATATTTTATTTTAAGTTTCACATAATTGTTTTGTTAGTTCCAAACTTTAAATTTGTTTTTAAAAAATATTTTACTAAAAATCTCAAATAACTCAAAATTTATTGGGTAATCATTTGTTTTCCATAGATTTATATCTTGGTCATGTGATTACTACCACCAAATTTTGATCATGTAATGTGTATTGAATATATTTGCCGTTTACTTACCACACGTTTTGTCGTGTGCCTCTAAACCTGCAGCCCGACACGTTTCGCTGCAGTACTTGACGTACGCGCATCTCTTGCAGGACAGCATGCAGTACGACAGACGTCCACAGTGGAAGCAGTTGGTCTGCTCTGTCGCGTCTTCGTCGCACGCCTCACACCAACACACGGCATCCTTCTTCTGATAGACGGCAAGACTCTTGTGAGCCTCGTCCGTCAAATCTGTCTCCTTGTCTAAAGCTGTTTCACTGTCTAAAGCTGTTTCACTGTCTAAAGCTGTCTTACAATCCAAGTACTCTAAAGATGAGTCAGGTATATCATTGGGTATATCCACATAAGTAGAAGTCTCTTTCAAAGCGTCGCGTTTCTCAATAGAGTAGTGTGGAGATTGTTTGTTTTGTTTGGTCTTACTTGTAAGGTCATTGCCCTCATCGGAATCAATATCCGAGTCAACAAAAAGACTTTTGTTTAAAATTTCCGGAAGTTTTGTTGAACTTTTTAAACCGTACGTTAAATCCTCGTCTGAATCTGTGTCGTACAAATGATCAGTTTCAATCTTGTTGTGGCCCAATGATCGAGTAGGCATTGCTGGGTTCTGTAGCGCGGATAGGTGATGTTGTATTGGTCGTGGAAAGGAATTTTCTGCCGTCAAAGTCAAACCTCTGCTAGACATCTTGGGTGCAACATTTCCATAGACATTCTGATTGTCAATTTTACATTGACCCACACCTTCTTTTAGTATGGTTTTATCTTTTCTTACTTTGTCTTGATTGCTTCGTCGCAAGTTGCGGTCAAAGCCGGAAATTTCCGGCTGCTTCTTTACAGTGATGTGTATACTTTGGGGAATTACTGAACCCAGAGAGTTAGCCAGATGTGGAACTAGAGCACGATTGTCGAGACGACTCCGTCCTCCGGCACCGTAAGGCACTATTGAGTTCTCACCCTGGACGCTTGGCACCAAACTCCCCGACCCCTCATTGTAACCCCCACAGTCTCCTAAGTTCTCGATGACGTACTCTATCGTATCGTTGTCGTTCACAATTTTCCGGAACCGGGTCCCACTTTTGGCGGAGGTTAAAATTGTTTGAATCAGCATCCCCCTCATCTCTAGTTCGGAGAACATGCCCTCATTTTCCTTGTTCGCCAGCCCATGTTGGGTTTTAAATTCGTTTCTTCTTTGTTGGTTTCTGAGTTTCTTACTTCCACCCATGTTTACGGTAGTAATATGCCTGTCTACAAAAAATCAACAACTATATATATATATATATATATATATATATATATATATATATATATATATATATATATATATATATATATATATATATATATATGTATGTATATATATATATGTGTATATATACATACATACATACATATATATACATATATATATATATATATATATATATATATATATATATATATATATATATATATATATATATATATATATATATATATATATACATATATATATATAGTCGATGCAGTCGAAGTGGACTTGTTTCTTTAGATAATGAAATAAGATAGGAAAACGCAGTTTAGAAAATACAAATACTAAAACATCAATTAAAAAGAATGTCGGGCAATTACAAAATGAATACAGCTATAAAAAAAACATCTAAGAAACCATATTAGGACAGTAAAATGTTGTGTTACTTTTGATCGTATTAAATGAATGTGCTGATAATATATTTGTTTAAATTCGATAACATTTTTGTTAACCAGGTTAATTTTGATAAAATAATTGTTCTAGGTTTTTCGGAAAAATAAGATGAGTAGTTCAAGACAAATGGATTATTATTTTATTACAAATCACGTTTTTTTAACGACATGAGGAATTAGTAGTAATTAGTTTTATTATAAGTTATGTAAGAGGTAGAGTTTATTATAATCTAAAATCGTAAATAAACCAGTAACAAACCTCTAAACAAATATTTTCTTATAAACCTTCTTACCAGTTTGTTTGCTTTGGTTGTTTATATGTAACTACGAGATTCTTTTATAAAACTGACTTAATTTCCTGTCCTAGTTAGTAATGTAAGTTTTGTCAGTGTCATGACCTAGATATTGATTGCTACAGCTAGTGACGTCAAGACTTATTCCTCATATCCTGCTTATATGTATCTGTTTACATAAGGCAGGACAAATGTATGATATATGTACATATCAAGATTGATATGTTTTTCAACAATACATCTATATTATATGTAAAACGTTTCACAGGGGAAAATGCTGAATCTTTAGGGATTGATGTTTCTTACTAATATTAGAAAGTGGGAATTTCATTGAGTTAAAAACTTGATTTATAGATCATGAAGGAGTTTATCTTAGTAAACGGGATCTCCACCGTTTTAGACATTTTTAATGTCATAAGCTAAACGTTGAGATAGAATCGCTGATTTTATAGAAAGATATAATTTTACAGTTAACCAATAATGTACGAAGATATGTTACAAATATGTATGGTGAAATAGATTTAATTTATAAAAAAAACAGCTTTTTAAATATTGTGTACGTAACAATTTTAGTAACAAATTGTCGTTTATGCGACACATTATAAAACAATGTAGATAATGTAATTAGTTAAAAGAGGTCATAGTATTAGTATCAGAATAACTATAAGATAAGCTAACATCTATATGTAATATTAAACAATATTTATATAACCTAAACAAAGAATAGTTACGGAAATATATCTATACAAAAACTCCATGAAAATCTTGATTACAAACTACACTTGGACATACCTTATGTGTAAAACAGCTCTGTAGATAACCACAACTTTACGATTTTGAATTAAATTTATTATATTGGACAGTTGTACAGCTCAGCTCAGTTCTATTTATAGCTCAAGTTGCCACTACACGCACTAAAACAGAAACGGGAATTCCCAGCCTGACAGCTTTTACTGTAAAACCTTGTATTGGTGTGTGTCGTGACGTGTGCAACAGTATCTTGCTTATGGCAATGATTCAGCAGAATGTATTACCCAGTAGAAGTGTAAACAGAATTGGTTTACGTATAGAAGATATAAGTAGTGTAATTTGAGAATTATCTTTCTCTAGCCAATTTTAAATTACCTGCGATTGAAAATTCGTTTTTATGAAAAACATTTAAATGTTATTTCCTTTAACAGTTTTGTTCAAAAATTGTTCTTTTTTCTTCCTGTTTTGCTTCAATTGTCTTATTTTATAGCGGATACTATACATCAGGGGTCGGCAACCTTTTAAGACGGAAGAGCCAAAAGTTACAATTTACAAAATTACCCAGTTTTTAAAGAGCCACAAACATGATTATGTCATTAGTATGATCTATTAATAGGATTTTATATATATATATATATATATATATATATATATATATATATATATATATATATATATATATATATATAATTTAAAATAAATAGCTTTAAATATATGAAATAATCTCATTTGTTTTTGTGTTGAAAGGGTCTACTATAAACATCAGAGTACTTGAATTTGTTTTTTTAATTGCTCAAATCTCTCAGTGAACCCATCCTTTATTTTGTTTATAGTAATGCTGAAGTGATTCATGTTTATAGTAGTATTGGTTTCATCACGATATTTTTTTTTTCAGATTTTTCGTAATTAAGTAATTTACCGCTCTACAGATCTTTAAAAATATTTTTTTTTTCGAAACAAACCACTTCGTCAAGCAAGGATAACCCAAGTTTTCCTGTCCTTTCAGTTTTACATTTAGCTCGTTTAGTTTCTTTGTGATATCCATCACAAAGTTAAATGTGTCATTTGAGAATGGACAATTTAATAAGAAGTACAATGAAATATTGCGTAATTAAATAGTGTAATAGAATAGAGAGTGTTACTTGTTTATGTTTATTATTATATCGTTCATTACCGAGTGTTGCAGAACAAAATTTTTATTAGTTTAAAAAAAATAAAATAATTATAAATAATTGTGCAAAGCGCTGAAGAGCCGCAACTTGACATCAAAGGAGCCACATGCGGCTCACGAGCCGCAGGTTCCCGACCCCTGCTATATAGAGTTAATTTCTTGTGTTTGTGTGTTTATTGTATATATCTATTATGATCAAAACAGAATACCATAGTCAACATTATGATTAAGATCTTTAAATTTTTTGAATATTTTAAAGTGGTTCACTTTCACAAGTAGCACATTATGATCTCATGCACTCAATTTTATCTAATTAGCTTAATAAAAATTAGAAATAATTTAGCTAAAGTGAAAACAAATAGATTTAGATAAACGAACGAACCTAGCACTCAAAGTATTTTACTCCAAATTATAAGCGGTTTTAAATATCTATAACACATTATTCAATATTTAATTGATTTACCTCCCCTGGACTGTAGAAAAAATATTTATGGATTTATCTCCCTTCCTATTAACTACTGAACCTAACACCATTTATTTGTATACTCAAGGGTGGGGCTATAAACAGAGTTTATGTGGGGCATCTCTTCGGGGAGGAGGATACCGCCCCCCCCCCCTTTCCTCCAAGAACGAAATATAAAAAAGGTAAAAAAATTATATAGAAATTATATAATTTATCCATGGGGAAAAAATTAAGTCCACCTCCCCTCCCCCTAAAATTTCAGGTGCCCCCTTGAAGAAAAATGTCTGAAAGAAACACTGGCTATGATTGTGTTGCTTATGTTTACAAATAAATGTCTTCCCATCTTTTCCCCACGTGTGTTGACTTCCGGTTGCCATTTGGCTAACATTTAGTTTCAGCTCTGACGTCATCTTTTGCCAGATTTCTGTCGAAGTGGGAGGTTCGTGGATTTTATGTTATAGGGGTCGTCCATAAATAACGTCACACTCGTAGGGGGGAGGGGTCCGTAATTTTGTGACGGGGTGTGATGAGAGGAGGGTGGGGGGGGGGGGGTGTTGAGATGGTGTGACGTCACACTTTTGCTTTATAAAAAGCATTGTTAGAAAACGAGTTGCAGCTGTTCTATCTCGTTCTAGAAAACTTTCAATACATTGTAATAGGAACTGATTTAATTACTCTATTCTGACAAGTTCAGACAAGATTTTGGAAAAAAAACATCCATGTTTTAAGAAAAGATAAACTGCAATTTTGAGTGGAGGGGGGGAGGGGTTGTAGGCTGAGGTGTGACGTCATTTTAGGGGGAGGGGCTGGCTTTTTGTGACGATGTGTGACGGACGGGAGGGGGGGGGGGGTTAAAAAAAAGCATGACGTCATTTATAGATGACCCCTTAACCATGTCAGGATTGTTTATGTTGTGTTAGACCAGGGGTCTCCAAACTACGGCCCGCGGGCCGGATGTGGACCGCGAAGTCCTCTCATCCGGCCCGCTGAGATCTTTTTGTCCAAAAAAATTAGTTTGTTGGTGATGGCTGAGGAACTTTGACCAGAAAAATCAAAGACATGCCTGGAAGAAACTGGCCCCCGAACTGAAGTTTGATAGTTTATGCTGCCCTCGGACTGAAAAGTTTGGAGACCCCTGTGTTAGAGAGTAAACGATTTACGTGGAGTTGTAGAGAAAGTAGAGTTTAACTGACTGGTTGTTATAACTAACCATATTTAAATTATTAATTCTCAATTAACCATTTATTATTTCAAAGTTGATAATATTTAATGTATTGAATTTACAAACCATCTAAAGCGATTTAAATGTTAATTTAATTATCTAAAGGTTATTCAGATATAGTGGTATCGAAATATTATTGTGTTTACTTTAAAAAAAAAACAACCAGCGAATCAAGGGTAATGTTGCAGGGCAGCCATATAAAGTACTTTTTCGAACCTTTCAGTTCACGTGATAGGTGAAGCAGAGTTCACCTGTTTCAGTGACCTCGGCATATGAAGGCATAGTGTGGTTAGCACTATGACCAGCTTTCTTTATTCTCCATAGTTTGATTCATGTACCTATCAAAGCTGGGTGGACTCTGAGACGTCATGCGGACTCCGAGGTCCGAACTCCAGACTTTTGGGTGAGCTGTCAACCGTTCTACTATTCGACCACACCATCCAAACAGCGGGGATCGTATGGGTCGCCCATGACATCCTTCCCTGTTTTCGCCAGACTTGTTAGTTTTTATCGTCAATGTCAACACAGAGACTGAAGCTGATGACTTGAGACACCGTCAATAGAGTTAATACTTAATAAGTCACAATGCAATGACTGTTCAGAGTCTCAAGTCGATAACTTTTAGAGACCTTATAAAATTAACTTCAAGAGACTTGAGACCATGACTGTCCAACACTTATCTCAACGACTGTCGCGATGTTCTCCAATGAGTAAAAAAAAAGTACCACCCAAAGACCACCTCTTTGAAGAAACATGAAATAGAATTCCGCTCCAGAAAAAAAAACGCCCAATAGTATTGTGCTTGTCTATCACTCAGAGAAATACGATGCTTAGCAAACGAAAGCATTTATTTGTTTAAGATATATTACATATCCTTAAAGCGAAATCTAGCTATTCAAATCCTAAATATATTTTTAACTCGAAAAAAAAACCCACTTTTGTTTGAATATCCGTATGTAAGAACTACTTTTCCAGGTAATAAAAAGTTTTTTTTACCTGTTAACAATCGTAGCTAATCGAGTGTAACTATCTACAGTGATACATAGTGTCACTCTCACTGTTTTTATAAGGATTATTTAGCGTACTGACTAGCGATCATACTATTTCAAGGCCCCATTGAACAGATATATCCCAATATGTCATTTTAAAAGTGACAATTTTGTGAGCTATAGCTGTGGAAAAGTTTTTACGAATTAAAACTTTAAAGTCAAATAAATAATTATCATTTCTCTCTTTCTCTCTATCTATCTCTATCTATCTCTATCTATCTCTATTTCTTTCTCTCTCTCTCTCTCTCTCTCTCTCTCTCTCTAAATATATATATATACATATATATATATATATATATATATATATATATATATATATATATATATATATATATATATATATATATATATATATATATATATCAAGTAACACTAACAGCACATTACTTAAGCAGAAACAACTAATAAGCACTTGTAACAAAATATAAAAACACAGAATATATATATATATACATCTAGGACAGTTTTTTTCTCTCTCTAAATATATATATATATATATATATATATATATATATATATATATATATATATATATATATATATATAAAGTAACACTAACAGCACATTATTTAAGCAGAAACAACTGATAAGCACTTGTAACAAAATATAAAAACACAGAGAATATATATATACATCTAGGACAGTTTTTTTTCGGGACTATCCCCCCCCCCCCAAACCCCGTCCCCCTCTTCCCCCCAGCACACACCACACAGCCTTCTTTATTCTTTAAAAATTCGGATCCGCCTTTCTATCCAGATGCGAGCCTCTCTACGTGACTGTGTCAATGGGATTTATTTAAAAAAAAACCAGGGTAGCAGCGTAGCAATGTAGTCAGTGTAGCCGGGCAGACTGTGAACTGTCTAAGACTTACAGAAAAGAAAGCATTGAGTGTTTGAGTAGAGTGCAGATAGATGTGTATTACTGTGAATTTGTCAGCGGATATTTTATTCTGTGAATGTTTAGCCTGTTTAACTAGTATCGTGTGTTATTGGTCTCGCTGATATCACTGTTCAGTTTTTCACAGGAACATGTAACTACAACATAGAAAGAATTAACTTTTTATGTGTTAACACATAGGGTAAGTTACTATATTTGTTGGGTACAGCTTAAAAACATTGAAGTTTGTACATAAGATATTGAAATCATTTAGAGGTCTTGCGAGAATATGTTGTAACCACGGCCTGCATAGCTAATCAGAGGCGTAGCGAGGGGGGGGGGGGGGAGGGGGGGGGCGGGGGCGGGGACCTTAGGGGGCGCAAAAATGGATTGGAAAAATAAATTGAAAGTTTGAGGAGGGGGTGCAAATCGAAAGTTTGTCCCCGGGCGCCGGGAAGGGTCGCTACGCTTCTGCGGCTAATGCTAGAACGCGAAGAGTCAATTCAGCTTAATATTGTACCTGGCAATTGCTTGATGCCGTTGGTGGTAACAGTTGAACTATATTCTGCTGATTTATTTACATATTTTCTTTGATTTATTAATTTGTGGTTCACAGTAAACATTTTTTCTTGTTTTTTTTTATATTGAGTATAATTTATTTATTTTCATTTTGTTATGAAATGGTTTAACAATTGAGTGTTTTTTTTTAATGTTTAAGAAATTTAATCAAACCAGATTGTTGCAAATAATATTGCAAGATAATTATAAGCCTTCTTTAGTTGATCTACTGTGATAACATATTCTTTCATGGCATTATCCTTTGATTTACCTTTTAACGTATTCCATACATCCCATTTTGCCTTGCCTTTCATATCAAACAAACCTGGTCTGTCTGTTTTACAATCACCAACTGTAGCTTTCTTATATAGTCCATAAATGGCAAGTTTTTCATCATTTGTTTGTTCACTTCTTCAGCAGCAACTTTAAACTGCTCTTCTATGTTAGACATGGTATTATTTTCGGATCTAGAGTCAAGATCTAGAGTCTAATAGTAATAGCCCTATAAGGGCTGGTAAGTAGGTCAATAAACAGTTATATGGCTCATGCAGGTTTTATTGAGCCGTAGAACTGTTTATTAACCTACTTACCAGCCCTATACACCATATAATAATATAGATCTAGTATTTAAGATGGTTTACTTACACATAGATTTAATACAAACCGTCTAAATATTAAAAAAAAATAGAAAATCTGAAAATGCAAATGTTTAGGATTAAATGATGATTCAAGGGAGGAAGAGGAGCATATGGGTTTTTAGGTAGAGCTGATGGGTTTAAATTAAAACCAGTTGTATACGGCAAAATAATTCTAACATAAACATCTACACCTTAGATTATAACATTACTATCTGTATACAATTTTTAATAAGTGCTAGTTATAATAGTTAATGTTAATGTGTTTTAATAAAAAATGACACACCAATTTAAATTTTCGTACCTAGGTTAGTATTTTTAAAAGGAACTCGGTTAAACGTATTTTTAAAATCTTATATTTTTCGATCATTCAAGAGATTTACTGAATAAGATCTCAGTGATTCGGTTCAAATAAAGATTTAAAAAAAATACCATTTGGTTATCGGTCCATCGCTTTACATCAGTTACTGCCCTTTGTGCGCTTGTACTAAAAATGAAATCGGTGACCTGAAACTTGACTTAAAAAACCAGTTGTTTCCCTTTCAGTGTGCAAGAGTTTAATGGTGTGTGTCGTGTAGGGTGGTCTAGGCCTATTTGTCGATCTGGTTACGGTTATCTGGTTGTTTTTTTTTTGTTTTTTTTTGTAGAATAAATTAATCAGGTTCTTATTTGTTTGCTGTTAAAACCAATATCCATTCATATGGCAAGGTCTCTGAAATAGATGAACTCTTCTTTATCTATCAATTGTGTCTTGAGCACGAAATGGATAAGGTAATGCTGATTTAAAACGCATGTTTTGTGTAGTATAATACCAATAATTTTCTACGATATAAAACCAATACATTTTTTAAATACAAAAACGAAGTATGATACAAAACAAACACTTTATCTAATTTACATCCTGCTCTCTGTAGGATATATAACACACACATCGTGGTATAACACCCAAATTTTGTAATATATAACACATTGTGTAATATTTTAAAACCCATGCTTTCTATGATATAAAGTACTAATTTTGTACGATATAAATGACAAACGTTGAATAATGTAAAGAAATTTTAAAAACATTGTCCATTATCTATAGGCCCCCACTTTGTGTTCTTGAGCGAAATATTTTACTATAATCAATGCATCGCATTAAAATGATAACATTTCTAATTGGCTTTATTGACAAGACAGCTTATTTTCGGGCAACAGGGTAGCCTACTTCATTGCGAGTCGTTAGTTACGCAAACGGTGCCGTGTTAAGCCGATTAGGGCGCAGTGTTTATTTCAGACTTTTTTTCTCCGAGGTGGGGGGGGGGGGGGCGGTTGCTACTTCCGGGGGCGGGCTGACTAAATTGGTTGAAGGGCTCGACTTGGAGGCGGATAAAAGTAAATATTTTCTATATATATTTTATTTCCTGAAAGAAACACTGTTTAGGAGCACAATGACTGTAACTTCGCCATTGTAGTCACAAATTTATTATTTCTCATGTGGTGTGAATTAATACAGACAGACTCTACTCCACCTACCCCGTTCACCGCTCCTTACCCTTACCGGATATATACAAAACTACGTTGATAGAGTTAAAATATAACGAGGTCAAACCCTTTGTTTATTAAATTTTTCTTCACAGCGCAGGCGCGGTTATGAAAATGTGTGACAACAGTTTTGACATTGATGCATTTTGTTTACAATTTTTTCAAACAATCTAGACGTCATACTTTTTTCTGGCCAACTTTGATGTGTACCAAACATAAATAGTTGACTGTTGGCTCGACTTTGATGCGAGCAAAACAAACACAAAAATAATTGGTTCATCTTCGTGCTATCCTTAAATAGCTTATCCAAGGCCACGAAATGTCGACCATAACAAACATGTCAAAGACAACAACCCTTAAATCAAACTGTCTTGGACAGAAACAAATGAATACACAACACACGATGAGTAATGTGAAGTTCAAAGAAATATTTTTTTTTACCGGCAACTAGGGCATGTTGTTGATAAAGATATGCAAATTCGAAACGCTCCATCAAATAGAGCAATCTTGTGAAACAATTGTTTATCCGTCATGCGCTTTAAATTTATCACGGAAGAAAAAATTATAATGTGACGCCGAATATTGTATTTCTCGGAATGGGCTTATTTAAATTTTTGACAGGCGATGTGAGAGAGAATTACAAGACTAGATCAGTGGTTCTAAACTTTTTTGGAGGAGTCGAACCCCACTGGTGTCATATTATGCTCATTCACCGAACCCTTCTATAAAGTTCTATCGTCCGCACTGACAAAATCAGATCGTGAATCTTTCGACGTGGTCGAGTCGGTAAAGCTCATGGTTGCTAAACCGAAAAGTCTCAAGTTCAAAACCCTCGGACAGATTGGGCTCGGCAGCAGGGGACAGCAACTCTTCTAGTAGAGACAACTCCAAAATCAAACAACTGCTGCCTTGTAGTTTGTTCTTGGTTGGACAAAGGCTATAAAGGCAAATCCGACAAGAAAAGCAGGCTGAAATTGGAGACACCGGCCTAAATTGCGCAGAACCGGTTAAGTCGGGTGTGTATTGACCTCGACGGATTACCTAAGACTGACTCACCGAACCCCTGAGGCTCGATCGAAGCCAGGTTAAGAACAACTGGGCTAGAGGATATAATTTTTATAATTATTGGACGGACGATAATCAGAAATATGTACACAGTTTGGTGGTATAATATAGACAGAAACGCCTTTGCTCTCCCTAGCGTGAGTCAGGTACCCATTTATAACCTAGACAGACGACTGTGAACACTTTAAGTCGACGCGTGAAATGGACACTAAAACTGATCATATATAGATTAGAAACATGGGACGGAGTGGCCTAGAGGTAGAGCCCTAAAGCCTCGAACTGGAATCCGGGTACTAGTCAGACATATCGTCACTGAGTCCATCCAGCTCTGATGGGTACCTGACTCACGTTAGGGAACGTAAAGGCAGTTGGGCATATTGCTGACCACTCTATCACTTCATATGATGAGTTCACTGGAACAGATGAACTCTACTTTATCTGCCCCAGGTGTCTTGGGCACGAACGGGGAAAGATGATGGTGAATTGATCGAAAACTAATGTTAAAGACCAATTCAGAATACGGGACAATAAACAGATACATTATGAAGAATACATAAATAATACCGAATACACAAACGATTGATAAAAACATAACGGATACGGGGACAATGGGAAAATTATATATATACCGGTTTCACTTGAACTATTTTAAAAACCTTCTTGACTAAAGTAGCGAGCAAGACTGTTGTGAGTCAGTGTAATCTACTAACCAGTCAAGTGACTGAACTATGGCCCACATGTCTAGAGAGTAAACGCCCTTGCCAACATCAATGACTACCATGTGTCAATCAACTCACAATAAACCACGCCCATGAATCAAAATGTCACAAAAACAAAGCACCGATATAGAGGCTATGGAGTGCGGTCTGTCTGTTATCATCGAGTCTCTTTGTTTTGATATATATATATATTATATATATATATATATATATATATATATATATATATATAAAACCCTGTATGTTCTTCATATCATCGCTATTCAAGTCATAAGCGTCGTAGTCAGTGATCACAAATCAGAACACCTGGAAACCCCACCCCCCATACTACTTATATAATGTCCAGTAACGTTTCATAGAGGACCGTGCGTTATGTATACAAACCTACTGGAAACCTCTCACCTCTCATTGCTCAAACCTCCCAACCTCCACTACGATCGTAACTAAAAATGACATCCTCCCCCCTTCCCCCCCCCCCCACCGTGCTTAAGGAGCCCAGACACCCCCTTATAATAGTTATGATTCTAAACAAAAATCAATTAATTTATCATCATTATTTACAACGATACATCACACAGATTGTCACTTTACATTTTGTTAATATATCGAACACATTATTATTACATAAGTCTTACCCCCCTCCCCCCTCAGCTTTTGTCGTTGTAAGACGCCATTCGTGCACTATATCCCCCCCCCCC